AAAAACGCAACAGTGGAAATCAGCTTTAACGATGGACGAAAACCGGTGTAACGCGAAATTTCTGACTTGCGAAATATCTATTGTAGAACTGCCGATGCGCAGACGATGCGCATGAATGACTTCGGCTCATAGATTTCGCAACTGAACAGACAACACCGACTATACTCAGCGATAATAAAGCTTGAATCTAAAATTTGCGAATGGAAAAAATCAACTACAAAAATTTTGTAGTCAACCCACCCTTGGGAATTAGGGACAGAAACGTAAACTTTTTGTGCAAAACTGTCAGACTTTAGAAATAAACTGTTTAAAACGTTAATCTGTGTGTTAATTTATGCATGCATCCAAGCAAAGCAGTGTCCACATTTTCGCATTCGCCATGATACCCCCTTTTTCCTCCTTTTGAATTGGTCGCAGACATAAACAACTTTTTAGATTTATATAAAAACTAATTAAATATCTTTAATGTTACAGTTACTATATGTACAAAATAATTACCATTCAAATACAATTAATAATGTTGAAATAATGTTCAAGTATAAATGTTTCATACACGTAACGTCTCTCCTCTTGCAGACAAACTATTTCCAATCATGATCATCAAATGCTGTACATCAAAAAGGTTGAACATATTATTTTTAATCAATCTCTCCGTCGGTGTTCAATACATCTCTAAAGGCTAATTTCCACTCAGGAAAATTATCCGTGGATTGGAACGGACAAGAAAATTTTGCTTTGTCTTGTGAGATCTGGGTTGGAACTAATATAATGTCTTTAACACAAAGAAATATTTTCTAGCTTGTCCGTTCCAATCTAGCCTTAAGGTTTTACTTATAGCCAACACCCATACGCCTCAACTTCCACTTTGGGACAATGTTTGTACGCATCATCTCGCTTCAAATGCATGCCAAACGTCTCCAACCATCCTAAGTCGTACCACAAACGCGATGACAAACTAAGTTGACCCATAAACGCGATGACATGGTATGACGTCATTTGATGAAAAAATGATGGTGACGTTTTTGGCGGGTTCTTAATCCGTAAGTAACCATCGTTAAATAATTTGTAACCAGCTTGTTGATATTATCAGGCTTGTTACAAGGTTGTTCCAACAAGCGGAATACAGTCATGATATAGCAGTATTGTTACAACCTTGTGTCGTCGATCTCGTAACAATCTTGTTATATCATGACTGTATCAGACTTGTTAGAACAACCTTGTGACAAGTCTGATAATGCCATCAAGCTTGTTACAAGTTGTTAACAGCTTGTTCCAAACTTGTTACAACAACTGGGAACAAGCAGTGCGAACACAACTTGTTGACAGCTTGTGAACAGATTTGTAACAACTTGTTTGCATATTGGTAACAACTTGTGCGTTTTTACGTGTGTATGCCTGAAAATATATATCTTATACACACGTAAAAACGTACAAGTTGTAACAAACCTGCAGCAGACTTGTAGCAATGCTGTTCCAACAACTTGTCATCAGGATGTGATCGCACTGCTTGTTCCCAGCTTGTTGACAAGTTGTCAACGGCGGGTTGTGCTAAAAAACGGCCCACGGCCCGATTTACGGCCCGCCGGCACAGAGTAGAGACATACAGAGACGTAACTAGTGTACCCACTTTCTTTGTGCGCATGCTCGGCAAGTTACTAGATGCATGCATCTGATTGGATGACGACCTGATGACGACTCACTTTAAACTTGCTGAGCACGCGCAGTTGATCATTTTTCGTCCGGTCGCCTGAAAAAAAGTGGGTACATGATAATGTAATCTTCAGCAGTGTTTACAACGGTCAGTTACGTCTCTGTATGTCTTATCTACTCTGTGCCGCCTTTGTGCCGCCGGTCCGAATGTCGGCCGGCGGCCCGACTGCCCGCGGGCCAGCTCATTAATATAATATCAAAAGTAATAGAAAACTAAGTATTTGAACAAAGCCAAAATAACAAGAACACAGAGTCATGTGCAGTAACTAATTTAATTTAAAAAAAAACATGAACTAACGAAACCGAAAACCACAAATGAATGACCAATACATTTAGTATAAGTATATAACAGTCACAACTTGATATCGACAGGGGCGGCGTAGCCCATCGGTAGATTTTCCGGTTAGTCCAGAAAATCTGGCACAGACGAGCAATATTTCCTTGACAAGTTTCTTGACAAGTTTGTTTTCTCGTGTGTACGACAAACATTTTTTTCGATCAATTCAGTTTCCCCAGGACCAGTTTTACGAGCCTGCATGCATGTTATCAACACGTCTCCAAAACTTCATGTATATCTATTATATAGTGCCCGAAGGCGAGGTCGTTTTCCTGGCCGGCCATACCACAAACTAATGTATTGGTCATTCATTTGTGGTTTTCGGTTTCGTTAGTTTATGTTTTTTTAATTAAATTAGTTACTGCACATGACTCTGTGTTCTTGTTATTTTGGCTTTGATCAAATACTTAGTTTTCTATTATAGTAAGGCAGATATGTGTAAAATTATTGATCAGTAGTTCCCGTTGAGGTTAAAAGCATCAAACTTTTACAATTGATGTAGTTTTATTTGCTTAATAGATATTTGAAGTGGGGCCATCGCTATTTTGCTGCTAACTCCTGAAAACGGGTGATTAGTGATTCTCTTCTATTGAATTCTATTATAGCCAAAAAATGTGAAATTTTGTATTCAATTACAACAAATATGACGTGCATCATCAGAAAGCTTATAAAAAACTGCATATAAGACGTTTAGACAGTTTTTTGATTTCTGAAATAGTTTTCGAATTACAAACTGTTAAAAACGCATTTTCAAACGTCGAATAATTAATTAGGGACTTTTGGCGAGATAATGTGCCTAATTTACAGTAATAACCATTTGAAGAACAAAAAAAAAACTGTTTAAAAGTCTTTTATGTAGTCTTTTACAAGCTTTCTGATGATGCAAGTTATAGTTGTCGCGATTGAATTCAAAATTTCACATTTTTTGTTGTAGTAGAATTTAATAGCAAATAATGCTAATAGCATCGTAACTCTCTAAAAAAACAGTTTCACGATGGCCCCACTTTTGCATGTTGTTCTACTCATAAAAAGATGCTACTGTACACAATTTGGTGTTTTTAACCCTCTTCGGAAACATCCATGCACATATCCGCCACACTATTACTTTTGATATTATATTAATGAGCTGGCCCGCGGGCAGTCGGGCCGCCGGGGCTGCGGGCCGACATTCGGACCGGCGGGCCGCGAGCCGTAAATCGGGCCGTGGACCGTGGGCCGCTTTTTAGCACAACCCGTCAACGGCTTGTTGCAACTTGTCAACAAGTTGTGAGTGACAACCTTGTAGCAACTTGATAAAATAACATGCAGCATTGTTACATCTTGTTGACAAGCTTGCTACAAGCCTGTTGCGAACACATTTCGCAAGCTCGATAATTGGGGGGAGGCTCATATTCATATATTCGTGTTCTGCGTTAATAATTTCTTTTGAAATCGATTGTTTTTATGGTCTGTGAACATGAATATATGAGTTATCTGCTATAAATTAATATAATGTGTTTCAATACTAGAGTTTAGATGTTAATTACCACGTAAATCTGTCAATTTTGATAAAAAAAATTTCAAGGAAAAATGGAAGGATATTTAGGGAGCATTCATTTTTTAGCTGGGGGGGTGGGCCGGAGGAACTGATGTCTAATTCCATGCGAAAACTTGGAACCCCCAAGACAAAAGTTGATAAAAAATTATGACCCCCTATTTTTTTACTGAAAATTTTTTGACCCCTCATCCTAACTATTAATCCACAAGGTGTCGTTTCCATAGCGTTTCAGGGCCGTAGGAAGCTCTTTTTGATTGGTGGGCTGAAACCGAGGGCCAAAGGCCCGAGGAAATTTTTTAATCTAGAGTCTCTGAAATGCCATTTCCTGGCCTTTGGGGGACGATTTGACAGAATTCTGATGGTCAGAAAACAGCGTTTTAGTATGTCGAAATTGACAATTTGGTAGTACCAAATGGGCGAAGGCGTATCGAATTTACTATATATTGGATAACTAGGATAAGTTGCAGGAAACTGTGGGTACTATTTTCATTATTTGCAGTTTGTCATGGATAATGTAGCCACTT